CCTTTTTTTCATAACAAAATTTATTAATTATAATAAAAAATTGTTATATTTTTAATATTTGTTTTTTTACAAATTAAAAAATTATTTAACTTAAATTAAATAGTTTTAATAAAAATATCCATAAAAACACCACCAACAAACTATACATATTATTATATTTATATTAATATAAACTATTAAAATGACTTAAGTTGTTGAAAAATTAAATGGGTTTTATATCCACCATTATTTTCCTCAAAAAACTTTTATGAAAACTTAAAATTAAAATAAACAAGTTCAAATATTCAAACTCGACACAAACAACAGAGATGTGTTTGTGTTGAGTTGTTGCGGATCCCCATTACCATTTGGCAATTTTATTTACACATAGCGCTTATAAATTAACAATTAGATAATGAAAATTACGCGCGACTAATGTTTGTTTGTTTTTTGTGTTATTTATTATGTTTAAATGGCTGATAAATACAATTTATTAACTATTAGAAATGGGTTTAAAGTGGATATAAATTATTGATTACTTATTAGTATTTTTATGGTTAATAAACTGAATAACAATCTATAGTTTAGATACTATATTAAACTAATCAATAATTAATTGTTTAAAGGGTGTATTAGGGCATACTAGTGGATGGACGTCTATCCACTAGATAAGCGTCCATCCAGTGGATACACGCTTTTTTGCTGGATACAAATATTTTTTAGTAAAATAAAGTCAATTTTGTCATTAAAAAAAGCATTTATTTTAAAATAATAAAAATTTTTTTTAAAAAATAATATCCCCAAATGTTGTCATCTGCCACATTACTACGTTATTATTATCATTCAATATGTTAATTGTGATACTTTTATTAACATTTTTTTTAATTTTACATTTTTTTTAATTTACACGCTAATTTATTCATATTATCGTTAATTTTTTACTTAATTGAATACATTGATTTCAATTAAATTTGTTCGTTAATATTTGCTCCTTATTAAAAAAACAACTCGTTAAATAACATACCAAAAATATCAAAACAAAACTGTTTTTTAAATTGTTTTTTAGAGCAGTATCAGATA